TTCTTATCGTATTTGAAATCACCAAAATTAGCAATATTGACAAATGTCAACATAATTCTTTTTATTAAAATTGTTTTTCATGTACGTCCATCTTTGGAAGCATCTATAATACAAAGCTGTCAATCGATATTCAAGAAACTATTTTAAATTCCTTAAATAAAATTTGGCAATTTTTCGGCGTAGTCAAAACGAATAAAGATTAAAGTAACTATATTTCCTATAAAACTGTCTTGAAGATACTATTATTTTTTTAATAATTTATTTTTCTTTGGCAACTGACAAACACGAAATTGCATTATTTTTTTCTGATTGAAGGGAAAATTTTGCCTATTAACTAACTTTTTTTATATACTCATGACGCAAATTTGGACTCTTGCTTACCGTGAAAGCAAGAAAAATTGTAAGAATTTACTTTTTAAATTATATTTTTCGACAAGATTTTCATTAGAAATAGCTATATTAAAGCAAATGAAATTAAGTTTTTTGCTGAACCAACATTTCACTTCAAGAACAGAACGAGACTTCGTTCAAAGCGTTCATATCGATGGCAAAGCGTACGCAAAAATCTATAAAATCTCTGAGGTATAAATATCCGTCAAGACGAGAGATTTAGAAAAGCCTCAGCGCTTCAGAATGATTTTCTATTGATATGTCGATCGAATGAATACGCACATTTTACGCATTAGAGAAAACTTAATGACGCTTCGGACAAACAGCTGTTAATCATAAAAAACACTGCTAAAACATCTTACTAAACTAGGTACTTATATGATTAAAAAGATGCCCAAATAATAAAAACTAAGCTTTATCCTCAAAGTCTTTGTTATTAATAAGAGGAATATGTAATACGGGCGTTCACGCTGTATTCAATGTTTTCACTTATGTCCCCTTTACTTAAATTTCCTAAACATCAGTTTGTCAAATCAATCAACCACAGAAAAAAAAAACTTTGTGTTAAAAAAAAAAAATGCTTTTCTGCGATATTTTAAACTAAAAATAATATTTGTTTCAATTCAAATTAAATCAACTAAACTTCCTTAGATAAAGTTTCAGAAAAGTATATTTTATTTTTGAAAGTCTTAGATAATTTTTTCTCGCCCCACCCATTCTGTTAAAGACTGGTGTCGATCAATCCAACTCGTCTCTCTTTTTAACAACCCTGAACATCCTTCATTGGAAACAATGATCTTCACCGAGTGCCAGACTCGACTAAAATGAGTTATAATTATTGAGTAAAAGGGAAATAAAGAGTATTGAGTAAGGAAAATTACATTTAGCGCTGTAACAATCCTTACTTTACATAACAAAATTCTTTTAAGGAGGAAAAAAAAAAAAAAAAAAAATCAATATTCGTTAAAGTCAAAGAGAGCTCTTTTATTGCTATAATTAAAAAAAAAAAAAAACATTCCTTAATGCAAATCAAATGGTGTATAAGAAAAAGAATGTGGGAGTGGGAAAATGATGGTGCCGCTTCTCGACACTATAATCTTCGAAAACAGATCCGTAGTAATCACCACCAGATGCAATTAAACAGAAAATCCGTTTATGTGTAAATTTTCCGGTGTCCAGAAATATAAACAATGCTGAAAAGAAAATCATTAAATGAACCGATTGCAAATACTACAAAAATGTCACGTTCCTAAATATAGATTCTAAGGGAAGCTACTCCTATGTACTGTAGTTGCCTCCCTTGGATTAAATTATTTTATTATTAACTGATAATTTTCTTTGATTACAACAAATACTCTGATTATACGATACACAAGAGTAAGCGATTATTGATATCACATCCACCTACCATTATCGTAAACATCGAAAAACCTACTTAGTAAATAATGCTAAAGTGGCTACTTTAATATTAGTAAATAATACTAAATAGTAAAGTGGTTTCATTATTTGAAGATTGTGGGGATTTCTTGTTAACACAAAAAGGTAAAATATATATGATGATATGAAATATACAAAGCATGTAAGTCGGAATATGTGATAAACAGTCAGATGTTAAAATATTTGTTATAAAAATAGTTGTTCACAGATATTTATTTTCAATTTTATTAACCTTTTTTCTTTTTTTTTTAATTCCAAATTAATCAGTGTTTCTAAGTAACAACCTGTCTTTGGTAATAATTGTCCCTTAGTTTTTTTTATTTGTTTTTTTTTTTTTTTTTTCTCTCAGGTGTTCTGATGTTCTACTAAATGAAACATTAACTTTTGAACAACCAACTAGTTTTACACATATTCCCTCTTTATACAAGTTGCACATAAATTATTTGAGAATAAAACGACTTTTATACATTTTGGATCTAAATTATTGATTCCTTTGGTGTAAACAAAAACTTTACACAACTGATCTTTCATACAAATAAATATTTTCTCAAATTTTGAGCTTGATTAAAATAAGTTTAAGTTTGTCTTGTAAATTACAGACCAGGCTTGTTTTTCTTTAAAGTAAAACTTTAATAATCTTGAATTTGAAGTGGAATTCAGTCTTTAATTATTAAAGTTTTTTGGGGTTTTTTTTTAAGGCATAGAATTGACATCCCTTCAACATTACTTTAACGAATAGCAAGATTTTTATTCTTTTTTGATACAATTAATATTGTTTAGCAAGATTTACTTTTATTCCCTCATTAAGAAAAAAAATGTGTGCAAACGCACACACACACATTTGTAATATTCTATGCTGGGATTGAATGTGCTAGATTACTTGTTTGGGCAACATTTATTACTTGGATTTAGATATGTGCTCTTTTCTTCACATATGATAGGATGCTGAAAAGTTCTTGGCTTGACTCACTTCCCAAATTATAACCAAACATCAGAAATTTTTGTTAGGGCTTCTAAGAGAATTAGGTCAAGAATGTTTTTCAAATTACACATGTCCATTTTTTTTTTTTTTGCACTTCAGATCATCATGAAAAAATATTATCAAAGCATATTAAATACGCAATTATAAATAAAAAAAACATTTTAAACCAACACTTTTCTTAAAAATCAATGACTCTGCAAAGAATTATTTTTAATAGATGCATCTTACCATGCTTGACTTTCATAAATTCAGGATTTTGATAACTTTCTGTAAAAGTTTCTATGACTTCAGGGAAAATATTACCAGCAGTTGTAATGAGTTGCTTTCATTTTATTGTAGAGAAAGCATGGAAGCTAAAGTTAGGAGATATTCAAGTCTAACAAGAACCCCCCTCCCCCTCCCTCCATGTATTTATTAGAAGGTGGGGGGACAAAAAAAAAAAAAAAAAAAAAAAAAAAACACACACACACACAAAGAAATATTTTGTTTAAATTTTCAGAGAGTAAAAATATAAAAGCCATCTTAGCATTTCTACCAAAATATTGTTCCATTGGCAAAAGCTTACTGATACATTTACTATGATAAGTATTCATTAACCACAAACTGTCAATTACATTCAGCCATTAAACTAATCATTTACTAAAAAGAAATACCTTCCAAATTCTGGGGAAAAATAGATTTGATCTTCATAACAATCATAATTTGTAAGGAAGAGAAAAACTTAAAGAAAAAGAAAATAAAAATTTGCAAATTAACTTTAGCAACTTAGAAATTCCCCGCAAGCATGGAGATTGACAAATTACATTTCAACACAACTTTCAAAAATCATATTTCCAGAAGTGTTTTTAAATAATTTTTTTTTTTATTTGGTGACTTAAATTTGACATAAGGTCACGAATTATCAACTGAAATTACACTGACCAGATCAACAATAAATATAATGGGTGGACATTTTCTTCTTCATTGTAAAACTGAAAGCAACAAATGGGGACAAATGGAAGAGAAATCTGGTTATGTTGGAAGCAAATATTTTCATTTCTCACTTTAACTTATAACAAAGTCTTCACGAGTTATTCATAGAATGATACTTTTGCACAGATGAGTATGTGTTTCTTATAAAGATGACAAGTTTTACAAAGTATTTATCAAAAAGGTATATTTATACAGGCAGTACTTTTAATGAATGTTATATATACACACATATATATGCATAAGTACCAGTAAATTTTTTTTACTATTTAAACAACTGTGATATCAAAAGCTTTTTATAAATGCTAACTACATTTTTTTAAACTGTCTTGAGAGGGGGAAAAGTTGTCTCTTGATTTTTTTTTGTGGCTACAAAAGAAAACAGTTCTTTATTTTTCTATTGTAGGGAAAAAAGGAAGGATATGAGAGAAATGAATGTAGCAATAATAGAAGCTGTAAGCAAAATAAACAACATAGAGAAACTTTGATAATAGCATGAACGTAATTATGTATTAGCCACGTGTAAGTTTAAAAAGTCAAGCAATCATTTCTTAGATGCAATAAAAAACACACACATGAAAATGAAGTCACTCCCTGCCCAGATTTATTTTTTTTAAATTCTAAAATATATAGATAATTATTTTACCCATTGAAGTTAGTAAACCATTAACAATGAGAAAAAAATTAATAAATAAATAAATAAATAAAGTGACAAAAAGTGAAACTGACTAAAGAAAAAAATTTTTTTTTAAAATAATAAAAAGTTAGAGAATGAGACAAGGTATTTAAAATATAAAAAAAATTAATGGAAGACAAAAAAAAAAAAAAACTTTGGCTGGAAAATTAAAAAAAAAAAAATGACAGTGAAAAAGAAAACAAAAATAAATGAAAATACAAGACAACAAAATGTTACCATCAAATTTAATAATGACTTGCAGACAGACATTTCTAAACAGGTCTTACTGCAGTCTAGGATGCACATCTGGAAGCATGAGTGAGTGTGTCCTTTCCCCAGCTAAGGTCACACACACAAAAGAAAAAAAAGTTTCTCCCTTTTTTTTTTTCCTTCATCTTTAAAAAAAAAAAAAAAAAAAGTTTGTGAGTCGCCATGTTATATAAGGTCGTGTGATGGATGAATGGCAGATGAGTAAGTGAAGAGAACAGGGTGAGGGATGGCAACTGACAAAAGATACTGAGGAAGTGTAGCAGGTCATCATCATCATCAGACCACCATGCCAGCCAGAATGTCAGCTGAAGTATCACAGTAGAATCTGGTAATGTCAGAAGGAAGAGTCTCCCAGTTATGGGCTTGGATCTCTAGAATTTCCAACAAAGAACAACGTACTTGAGGACTGGAACTGAAATAAAATAAAATAAAATAAAAATAAAAATAGTAAGTAATATTTTTATTACAATCCTTAGCAATAGAATCAAAATGCTTATTTGTTTCCAACCCCACATTTGACAAGATTGCAAAGAGCTGAACAATCCAAGCTTATTCGACAAAAGGGAGATAACTAACTGCTATACTAAACGGGCAATAGAAACGATAAACACTGACTAGATGCAATTTCACTTAATTGATTAACCTGCTGACCGTACATAACAGAATACTATATTTAGATTACCATTGTTATAATTATTTTAATATTCTGTATAGAAAGTAAAGAATTTTGTTTATGTAATATATATATATATATATATATATATATATATATATATATATATATATATATATATATATAATGTGTGTTTGTGTGTGAACAAAAATTATAATACATGCAACAAATATAATATAAAAATAAAAACCTCTTTATTTTAGAAAATAAAAAATGATCACTATTCATAATCAAAGAATCATAGGATAAAAAGTAATCAAGAAATATTTACAATAGTAGAAATTTTCTAATGAAGAGGACTTGTTACATTGATCAGTGAAAAATACCTTAATAATGAGATTTGAAAAAATTTATATAAAAAACATTAATTATGGTTGGAAGCAGGTTATCACTGATAATCTTTATAACTCATAAGATGAGAGTTTCTCAAAGTGCAGTGCGCCTCATAAGTGCAGCGGAAGTGGATAGCAGGTGAGGCGGAATGATTGAAAGACAATCAAAGATTTAGAAATTTTCAAAAATCCATGCCAAAAATAAATGATTTTTAAAATATTATTATGGATTACTTTTAATTGGATGCATGATTCCCAGCATAAATAATTGGCCGATTTTATTGTGATATATTTGCATTATATCAAGTAGAATATAGCAACCAAGCTCCACAAATTGGAGGAGAAAGTCATTGGTGATAATATTCAGATTTCGAATCCGCGGTTCTCTCCCTTTAACCATCACTCTCCTTTTTTTTTCTTTACTTTTTTTTTTTTTTTAAAAATCATATAAAATTTGGTGAGGCGCATACAAATTTTTATTCCAAAAATGCAGCCAGCGAAAAAAAAAAAAAGTTTGGGAACCACTACATGAGATGGAACAATGAATTCATAAGAAATACTTGATATATATTGTTATATTTTTCATCTTTAGTGAGTCATCTTTTAATGTTACTGCTAACAGAATTATATGAAGTGTTTATGTTCTTCATAAAGAGAAGAAATTAAATATAAGATAAATAAAAAAAAAAAATATCCACACCCATATCGATCTCATGACTGTGAACTCTGAAAAGGAACATGTTGCAGGACTACCAGTTATCTCAAGGACACATGGCACAGTGGATAAAGATGTTGGTTAGATCCAGTGACAGGACCCAAAGAGCGTGAGTTCAATACCCAGTTAAGGCAGTGGAGAACTTTCAGAGGGAAATTAACTGATAACTGACATCCATTAAATATGGCACATGGAACTACCCCAGTGAGCGAAATAAAGGGTTAAGTTTGACATTCTAACCACCTGAAGAAGGCCGTAGCATACAACGGCTGAAACTTTGTAATAAATATGGTGACAAGGATGAGGACAAGAGTCTGATAATGTAAATAATGTATTCCTTAGTTGTTTATTGATGCAAACATGCTTGCAAAGTCTGCCAAAAGCTTGATCTACTTTTGTCAGTCTTGTTAATCTCTGGCTCTTTAACTTGACATCGGCAGATATGACGTCTCGGGTCGATAAAGCATTAGATCGCGTTCAGCTTTGTTGAACTAAAATGCTCAACACTGCAGAAGGTGCAGACTGATAGTTTTCTTCAAATTGATTTCTAAACCAAACAATTCAATGGCCTTTGCAAAAATGGGACATTGCTTGTCAGTCATGCTGATTAGGCAACTAGAAACATTAGCTTTAATATAGTTTTAGTAATATAGTTGTCTTAGAACAAATTTGCTATTTGGAGGTGCACAAGTGGTCCTTCATCCAACATGCCCTGTCGAGTGGGGTTTCAGAATACGCCAACTGCACCTCTGCAAAGGGGTACCCTCCATTCCCAATGGGGCCACCTGTTTGCCGTAGGTGGTGACCCTATAATATCTGGGGGGAACGGGATCCTGGGGGTGGTTGAGGGCTTCAGGAGTCCAAGTTAGATACTTCCAATACCCAACACACGACTTTGGCCGTTACTTGGACTAGACAGACAGTTGGAGAGGCCCAATTTGATCAATCAACTGGTCATGCCAAGCCCTAGCACCTATAACTATATCAATTTATGGAGTACTTTAGAACTAAATACAATACCACAAATAGACACAGATAAAATAACATCTCTATCCAATTTATAGGCATAAGAAGGAGAGTCAGTCAGTTCAAAGAGCTCTAGACTTAGATATGGCTGTAAAAAAAAAGAAAAAAAAAAAAACACAGCTTGTACACTTAAGATTTGGGAAGTGCAACAAATGGTTTAATGGGTGCTCAGTGTCTCTCTCAAATATGAGTATACTGGTTTGTGTAGCCCTGACCTGTCAAGGCAACTGGGTTTCCCCCTTGATGCATCTCAATGCTGGGCTTCAAGATGGGTGGGGAGCACAGTCAGTGAATTTTTTCTACATCAAAAATTATGCATAACCAAAATAAAAAACCCAAAAGATATCTTTCAGACTGATTCTGAAAAAGAATTAAATATTGAATTTCCAAGATTTCTTGATTGAAAAAATGTTATCCAGCAGGATTAACCACAAAACAGTTAAGAAATTGAAAAATGGCAATTTGCTAGAAGTGGAAAATAAAAAACATGCTGAAAGTTTAATCAAGATGAAAAATTTCCATAACATCAAAATAAAAACCTTCCCCCAGGAAAGACATACCATTTCGAACGAAGTCATTAGAAGCAGAGAATTGTCTCTGGCCACACCTTAGGAAACCATAGGATCAGTGATTACCATAGAATCAGAATAAAACGAAAGGAGAAACTATAACAACACACACATATATCTGTATTTTTGTTACCCCTCAAATCCATAGAAAAATGAAAGTCAGGTACATCACTGAGCCAGTGGAACAAAATATTCTTGATCCACTAAGGTGTTTCAAGTGTTAAAAATATGGGCATTATAGAGATAACTGCTGGAGTCGCCCAACATGTGGAAAATGTGGCCAAACCAGAAGGATTCAGACCACATGGAAGAAGAATGCTACTATGTAGTAAAATATCTAACTGCCAGGAAAACCATCAGGTATATTTATAATTATACAACTTCTGGAAAAGGGAAAAAACAGAGAGTCAAGGTGAAACAAACAAAATATCTCATTCATGGGAGGCAAGGCAAATTGTAGAAAGTTTCATTAAAAGGCCCTTCCTATGCAAAGAAGGACCACAATGAATACCATTCAACCTGGCAAATACAGAGCCCTCACTGAGAAGTGCATACACTAGAGAACAAATGACAGACCCAAATTTCAGAATTACCTGAAGAACATATACTCCAAGGAGTTAGTGCAGACTGAATCACAAAAGAAAGCCAATAAAAGAATTGAAATAATAATAATAATAATAATAATAATAATAAAAGAAAAACCAATTACAAATCTCAAATACAAACCACTCCTCCAAAAAATAAAATTTCCTACAAAGCAAAGGTCACAGCAATCTCCTATTCATCTGCTAAAAACCATCAAAGATAGAATTAAGAACTTATCTCCCCCCAGACAAAAAAAAACAGAATCAGCCAAACAATAAAACAGAAATTCATTGACCAAATTCCTACCCAAGAAATGGAGGTAAAAAACCAGAACCCACAAATGGCCAAAACCTCCAAACTAAAAACCTCAGAAAATTAAATCAGAACCACATACTAAGCTAATGCCCCAAACATTTAGCAATCATGTATGAAATAATTCAATGGAACTGCCATGTAATAAAGGCAAACAAAAATGAACTGCTTCTGCTAATAACAGACCTGCCACCAGCAGTTGTTTGCCTTCAGGAAACATTCCTTAAGCAAAATGGCAAACTGAATATAAAAGGATACCATCAATACAACTACACATATGACACTGGGCTTCAAGTATCAGGTGGCACATCCATCCTAGTTAGGAATCATGTACCCCAAAGTAAAATAAATTTAACTACTTTACATGTGACTGCCATTAAACTGACCTTACACAGGCCAATAAACATCTGCTCAGTATATATCCCACTGAATGAACCAGTAAATGAAGCTAAAATTCATGAAGTCATAAGGCAACTTAGAAACAATAATTTATAACAATTTATGCATTTATAATGATAAAACCCCATCTTACATAAATCTATTTGCTGGCAGCTACTTGCCAATAGGCATATCTCTATGTGATCCATCAATTTATGTGGATTTCTCTTGGAAGGTACTGGCAGACACATGCAGTAGCTATCACTTGCCAATCATGCTACAAAACTCAGAACATAATAAAAATCCTCTCTGCTAAAAATTAGGCAGAGCCACCTAGGCAGAATTTAAAAACCAATGTTCTATAGCTAAAAAAATGCATTCCAAAAATTTCAGCAGCAAAAAACATAAAAGAGCTTGCTTCAATGATAAAAATAAAAAAGCCATCAGGCTAAGAAAAGCAGCTCTGAGAGAACTCAACAAACAACCTCCAACCTTTAATTTACTGCAATTTAAGCAACTGGGCAAAAGCACAGAAAATAATTCAAGAAACCAAAAAATAATACTGGTAAAACTACATCAACAGACTCAATTCTGCTTCAAAAACAAAATCCATCTGGAATATGATCAAGAAAATAGCAGGCAAACACTATAAAACACTTATCAATAAATAACTCTAAAATAACCAGTAAAAAAAGATATCGCTGACCCACAAGCCAAAACAATCTCTAAAAATTAATCTTCCAAGTATGGTAGCCAACAATTTCTAAAGCACAAACAAAAAGTGGGAAAACAAAAACTAAACTTTAAATCAAATAATGCCAAGAGCTATAACCTAACATTCACTTTAGAGGAACTCAATGAATCTTTAAAGAAAGCCCACATTATAGCTGTGGGCCCAGATGATATCCACTACAAATTCATAAAACAATTACTCAACAAACGATTACAACTGTTATTAAAAATGTATAACATATGAACAAATGACAACTTCCCAGAAATGTAGAGAGTCATTCATCATCCCTATTCTAAAAACCTGGAAAAAAATGACAGACCCTGTAAATTAGACTGATAGCATTAACCAAATGCCTATATTTCAGCAAAGTAAGGAAATTACACATTGACCCCTGTTTAAAATTAGATGTAGCAGAAATCCCAGTAGTGGCAAAACAAGTTCCAAGTCATAAAATCATGCCCAACTAACCCAGCTTACAGCAGTACCTTTAAACCTAATTACTGAGATCTATTCCAACAAAAAGTATACAATAAAATGCTATGAACTCGGGATGAAATCAATTGCTGAAGAGTTAGGGACCTCTCTTGCAAACATACAAGAAAAGGCTGCAGCCAGTATTCCACCATGGACAATCAAGTCTTGTTAGAATTAAATAAACTCCCTAAACTAAAGACGCACCCACTAATATTCCAGGACAAGTTTCAGGGCATATTGGAAAACTACTCTAACTATACAGATGTGCCAAAGTGTGAGGACAAGGACGTGCATCAGTGAGCCAGAATATTACAAAAAACACCTCCCAAAAGCAAGTTCTATTTTCACTGCAGAGACTAATGCAATAGAGCTTGCTCTCAATATTATTATGCAGAGCAAACAAAAAGATTTAATTTTCTCAGATTCACTGTCCATCCTAATGGCTTTGAAGAAAAAAAAAAAATCTAACAATCCATTCATTATTAAACTATTGTGAAAAATAAGCACTACATGCAAACAAAGCAGCAAAACTAATGTTGAATTTCTAGTAGAGTTGAATGTAACAGACATAGCAGCCAAATCTGCTTTAGATATGGATGTAGATTCAATGACCAAAATCCCATACACTAACTTTAAGGAGGTCATTAACAAATAACAAATGGCACTGGGACAATAACCCACACAAGAAGGTCTTCGAAATTCAGCCCAAACTAGGAGACTGGAAGTCGGCTTTCAGAAAATCTCAAAAGGAAGTAGTAGTACTTGCCCACTTATACATTGGTCACATAAGAATGACCCTCTTGTATTTGCTAAACAACAAAGATCAACTAGTATGCCTATCATGTGAAACTAAATACACTATTAGACATTAACCAAGTGTTCAGACTTTGCTCTCTCAAGACAAAAATGCTATATTATAAACAACACAAGACCTTCAAGAAAACAAAAGAAAATCATTTCTTAAAACAGTGAGCCTCTACAAAAAAAATATAAACCAAATGGGAATGTAAAAACCAACTTCTCTACAAACTGTATATCTAAAAAGAATACATCAATGAAATCAGACTCAACAAAAACCTTTACAAAAATGTCAATGAAATCTGTTTTACAAATGGATATCTTACAAATACATATTCTATTCATACAAATCTATTGTAAAAATCTTGTCATTATTGAGGTTGATATGCCATAAAACAAAAACTTTCACCCAACTTCCTAAATCTGGCCCAATATCAGAGTTTTGGTTGGTAAAACTCCTTGATAAGACTGAAAATTTTCAGCACACTTTTGTGTGCGCGAGTAGTGGGTACATAATTTTATAATTTTTTTTTTTTTTTCAGACTACTATGTTAAAGTTGAGTGTGTACAGACATGTTCATTCAAGAACTGTTTGCCAAAATTTATCAGGTGTCCGAGTGAGTTAAATCCTGTATCTAGCTCCATTTCTGATGCACAGAATAAAATATTTGGATCTACCAATGCATAAAAATAGAGAATAAAAAGAAATAACAGGTTATGGTTTTCTTTATGCATTCATCTTAGAAATTTTTTTTTTTTTTTTTTTAGTAGAAAAAATAAAAATAATTTCACTTGCTTTTAATAAGAAATCAACAACTATCAGGATAGCACAGACAAACCTCTCATCTATGGAATCCCCCCCCCAATCAACAGACTTCAGACAACAGACAAAATCTGAAGGCAAAATAAAAAAATCTGCAGGAAAATAAAGAAAGAAAAAAAAGAAAAAAGAAAAAGAAAAACTTCCAAATTATCAGGCTTAGTGAATGAATCATTAGTTCTCAAAGTGACCTCTTGGTGGCGGTGGTGAGCTTTTCAATTCTAAACAAAGACAGGTGTACAGTACATAAAGTACAATACATTAGCATACGCATGAGAAAGTAGCTGTGAGAAATCTATTATTTTGATTAATATATCTACATTAAGTGTATATTTATTTATACCATATATACTTATAGTATTTACATTATGATCATTACTACTGACAGTTGCTATAGTGGTTTTATAACTAAAAAATAATCCCTTCCCATCTACGAACAATCTGCCACCCATCCCTCTTATTAGTCCATTGATGAGAGGTCTGTCTGTAATAAAAAAAAAAAAAAACTTAAAAATTTTAAAAAGAGTTTTAATTGTATTCATTAACTCACCCCTGGATAATCCTCAATCTAATCTTATCCAGTAATTCTTGCATTTTGTCTGGTTCTGTCATTTGCAGTTCTTTGCCAATAGATTGAAGCTTTAAAAAAAAAAAAAAAAAAAAAAAAAAATACAAAATTATATTTATTCATTCTTTAGGTTTGGTGCCTCAGTCATCTGTAAAAAAAAAAAAAAAAAAAAAAAAAAAAAAAAAAATTCCAGTTTCTTATGTCCTGAAGATTTACTTCTATTAATTTATACATTGAAAGATCGGTAACTTACACTATTTTAAACATTTCCTTTTCAAGAATTTTATTCTTAAGTGATGTAAAATTGTTTTTTTTAATAAAATAAAAATATGGTGTAGATTATTAAAAAAAAATATAGTTTTATTTTTGGTGTAAAACACACAACCAAGTACTTTTTTTGCATATAAAAGATTTAAAAAAAAAAAAAAAAAAAAAAAATTAAAAAATGCAAATATCCAAATATCGTCCTTTGCTCTTAGTTATTTCCAAATGTTATTTTCTATCATAATAACAATTAGAAACACTGCATGTCAACTCTACTGAACTTAATCCCCAAACTAAAAGTTATGCTATACGCAAAAGTCAAAAGCCAAGCAATCTACTGAAAAGGCTTAAAGAATTTCAGTTGGAAAACATCAGCATTGGTTCCTTATTAGGGGGGAAAAAAAAATTTAAATAAATAAATAAAAGAATCCTAATGGGACTTTTCTGGTACATTATACAGGCTTGACATCATTCTTTTTATATAAATGACTTCAAAATACAAATGCAGGATGTGAGGGTAGTTTAATGGACTGTGGCAGACATAATGAACCAGAACCAGAGCCAAATGGGAGAAATGGTGACCAAGACTTGCCTTATTCTCAACAAAAGAGAGTTCGTCTTTGTCTGGCATGTAGAACTTTGATTTGAGAGAAGACAAGTATGTCATTCCATGAAAAGAGACCCTTCTTTGTTGTCCCACAAGAAATTGGTTCATTAGCAACTGTGTATAAAATTAGCGTGGTTAGATAGAATCAATGAGGGACATCCAGGTGTGTTAGTGCTCCATTTTGAGATGCCCGTATGTCTAGTATCCAGGTGAATGATTGGTGCTTCCAAATTATAAGTAGATCATCGCGGAGATGAGAGATGTCTCTGTCGGGGTACGTTGTACTATACGTTCAGTTGTGATAGGATGAACGAACGACAAAGTGGATACAGGGAAGACAACAACAATAAATACCAAGAAACTTGTGTACAGGGAAGAAACGCCCAATCTGAAATTACATCCCAAAACAGAGTTGCTAACTTCTTTTGACCACACGGATATTGGCAGAGAAAGTGGAATTAGCATGCCAAGTTTAAATTCTTGGCTTGTCTATTGCATTAAGTTTTGCACTAATGCCCTTCGAAAAGGCATCAACTCATCTCTTCTCCATCTATGGGATAAACAGATTAGTCTAGCCTCTATGGTTTTGTGTGACAACCAGTGTAAGAGAAGGAAAATTCTGAATTCAAAACCATGGAGAAGGCCATGGGGGAAAATTTTCCCAAAAGAATGCATGGAAATTGATGGATAAAAAAAAAAAAAAAAAAAAAAAAAAATTTCAAAATCTGTGAAATGAAGATCACCTGAAGCATATTGTCTATTTGTATCTTTGTTCTTTAAATGAAGCATATTGTCTATTTGTAGAATTCTGCTGCTATTTGTTTTTAATATTTTGAATATCTCCTTTTAGCTAAGCCAAATTTAGGATTTTGAAAGAGAGAAAGATAGTTTTAATTTTAAAAACCTAAAAGTGCAAAATTCACACTTTTATCTGTGGTTGTGTATCAAAACATCTTTCCCCTCAAAGGAAGAAAGGTAAGTTCACTTGTGTAGGTCAGATTTCAAATGAAAAAAAAAAAAAAACAGAAGAAAATATCCATTCCTCTTTCAAAATTTCCCCAATACGTCTAGCAGGTAAAGTTGCATAAAAATACAAGTATTATGAATGCTTATATTTGGAAAACTAAATTTAAACAAAATTTACACATGCTTATAAAAATATAAGAGAAAAAACAATGGTTCTTACCAAACTATTTAGAATATCTAATTCATCACTAGTATCAGAATTAATTAGCATTTCTAAACACTGAAAAATAGGATCCACCAAAACTTTGAAATGTTCTCCACTTATTGTCCGCATAGTTACATAGATCTGGCACAGGAACACAATCAGCCCATTGAACTTTTCATGAGAGGAAGTCCTTAAGGCTTCTTTGGCTAGATAAGAAAATATACAACATAAAAACATTAAAACAACTGCTTTTAAAATAAAAAGGAGGGACCATTTTTTTCTCTCCACAAATTTACAAAATTCAGCATTATTTTTAAAAATATATTTTCTTCCTTTTAGAAAAGAAACATGGAGTCATTTAAAATGAGACAATATTGGTTCATAAGAGATTAAGATAGAAATTGTGTCCATATCTATACAATTCTCTGAAATAATGTATTTTAAATAAATATGTAAAAATAAATATGTAAAAATAATAATGTATTATAAATATGGCCATTTGTTTTTGTTTACAAAGGATTTTTGAAATCCTATTTGTGAAATTTTGCTCCATTCCATTATAATTTCTTGAAGATGTGAAAAATAGTTAACAGCAATTAAGAATATATTACAAAAATGTCAACATTACTAGATAAGGGGGAATAATAAGGCTTTAAACCATTGTATTAGGATTTTTTATACATACACAGAAATTCTTTAAAAAGGTCACATTTAAAATCTCTTGCACAATGCTCCAATAAACTTTATTTGTGCTATTCATTTTAACTAATATTTTTGTATTTATTATTAATGAGAGCTTTTAGGGTGTAGCTATTATTAATGAACAGCTAATGTCTACAAATTTAATCTCTTATGTTGATGCAAATGTCCTTTTGCTATGTTGTTTTTTTATTTTTTTACCCTTAACAATCAAGGGATTTTTTTTCATTCTCTATGGTTTATACCACCTTTCAGATAGAATCCAATTTTGAATCTTGGGATTTTCCAATATCTTGAAGTTGTTGGAACTGCTGACCAGACAAGTAATATTGCATGGAATAAATGAAATTCTGAAAGTGACAAGTACTGAGAATATGTCGACTACATGTGGAAGAATTTTGAATGTCATTTCAATAATTACTTCTCACATAGTATTTGTAACAAGAGGGCAAGGGTCGTCATGCAGCAGTGGATTTCAGTAAACATCTTTTTTTCTTTCAATGTTTTAGTCAAACAATTTTTCTACCAGTTTCTGTTACATCTCCTTTCAACTTCTAAGATCTTTCAGGAGATTCTTTATCCATAAAATCCATTTTAAACTTTGCAAACCATTCCTGATATATGCTTGCAGCTTCTGTTTCATTATCGTAAGCTTCAATGATTCAATGCCAAGATTTTACTGCTTGGAACAGAAACAATGTTGAATGTGCAGTTTGCATTCGGTCAATATTTTCAAACAATTCTTAAAGATTTCATGCATAATTATTAGAGAGCTGAATAAATATCAGGCATTTCTAAGATTTCCTTAACATTATACAAAGATTGAAGATTTTCATGATCCCAATACAATATCCTTTTCCAAAATGAAGGAATGTCTTGCAATGTAACTCAAATGTTAACCAATATGCTAGAAGTGTTTTTTTTTGTTTTTTTTAACAAAAAGTCATAACAGAAAATTTACATACAAGTTGTTCATAGATAAAAATTTCAATGGATAAAGTCTGAAACTTTAGTTTCACATTAACTGATTAAATTAAAAAGAGAAACTGAAATAAGTTATGCCCACAAAAAGAAAAGATGTTTTCTTAATATTAAAAAGGAAAATCTCAAATATATGTTTATTAATGAGAATTTGGCAAACTGTGAAGAGACTGTAATACTTTCAATTAATTTAATTTCCAGAAAGATTTTCTTTAAATGTATTTATTACTGGTGAATAAAAGTTTTTCAATTAAAAACATAAATAAAATAAAAACAATTCTGAAGTGGTTACAGAATTTATACAATTCTTAAAAATGGCAAGAAAGATTCAGCAATCAAAAATTTTCAAAAATAAAAACAATTCAAAGATTAACTCATAAATTCATGTTGCATTTTTCCTATATTCAAGAAATATCTTTCCTATAAGTAATTTTCAGATTTCTAAAGCTCTTTAGTGTAAGAAAAAAAAAAAGAAAATGTACAGTAAGAGATTTTCAAATTCACTTATTTATAAAATTGAAAAAGAATTAATAATCTTGCCTAATTATGTGATTTACTGTTGTTACACAATTCTAAGAAAATGTTGTAGTTAGTAGAAAAAAATGTGGTAAAAACAGAAATACTTAGAAAAGACAAAGCACAAAACTCAGAAACCAGTGCAGATGATTAAAGAAAACAAGCGAGGACAAACAGAGGTAGAAAGCCAAGTAAGGGTGACTTGGAAGTTATTTTAAAAAAAAAAAAAAAAAAAAAAAAAAAAAATTTAAAATGACATCTTTTAACCATTTTCCTAATTTCAACATTTTAAACAAAAAAAAATAAATAACCACCAAGGCATCAGAGATTCCATTGGAAAGAGATTTTTTATTTTATTAAATTTAACAATTGATGATCTTAGAAAATCAAATTTCCTTGCTATAAGGATTGGCAATGTAATATTGAAGTGAATGAATTTATAGTAAGAAAAAAAAAAAAAAAATCACCATCTTAACAACCCTTAGTTAAATGCTTTAAGTATAGAAACAACTCACAAGTGCCAAAAGCTTCAGAAAAATTTGGTTGGTATAATAAAATTACAAAATGTAAGACTTTTTTTTACCTTTGTATAATTTTAAAAAAAAAAAAAAAAAAAATACATGGATTATTCCAGACTTAATATAGAAAAGATGTACAGAATCTAGAAAGAAACAAAGAAAACTTATCCATTGGTGCAGTGAAAGAAATAAAATAAACACCAACTTCTATTTTAAAATACCTTAACTAGTTAGAGAATAGTTGCCGTTTGAAGTAATTTAGAATTTTAAAATTTTACCCCAAAACAAATCATGCGTTAGGAGTTGAAATTCCAAAAATGAAGATACATTTGATAGACATAAACCGTTATGTCTTATATGTTAATATCTAGATATAAACAATTATTTTTTGATATGAAATACAGGATCAAAGCTAAGACAACCTAAGAATAGACATAAACCGTTATGTCTTATATGTTAATATCTAGATATAAACAATTATTTTTTGATATGAAATACAGGATCAAAGCTAAGACAACCTAAGAATAGACATAAACCGTTATGTCTTATATGTTAATATCTAGATATAAACAATTATTTTTTGATATGAAATACAGGATCAAAGCTAAGACAACCTAAGAATGAACAAAAGAAAAGATACAATGTCAGCATGGAAGGGTTAGGATAATGGAATAGACAAATGCATGAGCTTTCAAATAGGTTCAACACAAAATTATTCCTCAGAAAGAAAGGAAGCAGAAAGAAATCAAGCTATAAGGAGTAAGAGAGAGAGAGAGAAAAAGAGAACTCATGCCTCAGCTTTCAAGACAGCACAATGAATCCAAAAGTAGTTTAATTTTTTTAGTTTTCTTTTTTTTTTTTTCAGTCAACCAATGAGATTGTGAGATTTTTTTTTTCTATTTGAACAAAAAACAAACTCACAATTTTGCTCATGATCATTATTCGCCATTGATACCAAATACTGCTGCAGATCTGAAATGAGACAATGGTATTTGCGAAAAATGAAGAAAATCAATTTGGTTCAATGGACAAATTATAGAAGAATCTGTTGGATGCCCATTTTCTACTTCATTCATTATTGTCACCCTGAAATGTAAACGGGGGTGGCGGGGGTACAATGTGCCTTGGTGGCTTTTTAGTTTGTTGTATAGGAAGTAAAGTATATAAAAAGGCCATTGCATTTTTTTTTTTAAATTTTCTGTCAATGTTTCCAAAGTCACCTTTACTTGGAGGAAATTTTGAATGTTCAAAAGCAAGCATTTTCTGAGGGATCTTCCTTAAAAAAAAAAAAAAAAAAAAAAAACAACTGAGCACAAAGCAGTCATGATTTAAAATAGCCAAAAGTACAAAGCTGCATAAAATTTCCCCAAATTTAAATAAATCCACAGCAAAGATGCTGGCAGATAAGCGAAAGAATCAAATGAAAGCACTATGATAATAGGTTTGGTCAACAGCTTGCCAGTTAACAAAATTGTCTGATAGTAACTAGTTATTAGTATATTTATACTATTAATCAGTATTCTGAACTTAAAAATTAAAATTGTTCTAAATTTAGTAGGTAAAAAAATTATTAGGCATGTCCTTAAATCGAACACCTGAAATGAGCCTAAATGTCTGACATCTTGTTTACAGTCACTTTCTCACAGATACATGTCGCTTCCCTCTGTCTTTTCTACAAATATTTTCACGGTAACTGCTCCAATGAGCTACTTTCGCTAGTTCCCAAACTAGCATGAATTTATACGTGCTACTAGGTTGGCATCTCGTTCCCACCCTTTCACTGTCGAAATGTAGCCATCTCTTCTACTTCAATAGCTTCATGTCTCGCACTTCCTGTCTGTGGAACTCCCTTCTTACTTGCTTCCCTGATAGCTATAATCTCCAGCTATTCAAATGCAATGTCAATCGACATCTTCAGATGTTGTGATCTAATTCCCCATCCTTCTCTTCATCCTTTCCTCTTTCATGCCTCTTGCTCCCACTCTCTGTAACCCATTGTGTGCTAGTGGCACTCCCACCTTGCTTGGAATTAAAAGCTTAGAAAAAAAAAAAAAAAAAAAAATGTTTACTTTATTAGAATTTAAAAAAGGGGGGGGGGGCATTATTCTGAATATAGGAATTTGAAGTGCATCAACATCTTGATAATTGATGTAATGGAATAACCTGTCACCCCCATGAGTGACTATACTATAGGTAGTAACTACTTATAAGTTAATGGACTACAGAGTCTAGCTGGGATCTGTTGAGTACGACTCAGAGTTATGCGAGAACTACCAACCTTCTAATAGTAGCACTCACTACTGGATTGACTTGTGACGACCTTGTGCATAACTGTTACCTTTATTCTTATTGTACTGGTTTTATACAATAAACCTTTACTTATTTTATCCACCTTGTTTTTCAAGTATATATTCCTATTAGTACAGAATATAACAATCATTGCAAAAAGAAATATCTAAAAATTTGCATACCAATAAATATATCTCAAAAGATATTTTCCCTAGTTTTTATATTTCCAGAGTTAATACTTAGTAATGACTATCCCTTTTGTCAGAGCAATCATTTGGTTACGGGCAGGTTACTAAGTTCTTTAATTTTATTACTTTGATTACCAACACAAAAGTATTATTAGATAAAGCAGAATAAGGAGATTTCATTTTTGTCTCCATGTGGGATTTGCTATCAGTATAACCGTGAAAAGACACAACCAACTAAAGTATTTAAAAAATAACCATTTCAGTATCTTACCTGCAAAATCTGCTTGCAAAAGTTTCAATAAGTTACTTCGATATTTCACACCATCCCCATCAATCTTAGAGAGCCGATCACAAATTAAGGCGCCTGTCCGTGCAAAGTCGATGTCCACCAGACTCTTGTTATAAATCACCTTGATCACTTGTTGGATGTTCTTTTCATCCTTGGCACATTCCCTCGTTAGTTTCTCAATCACGTCCAGGTCTCTGTCTTGTGCATCAAATGATAACATCTCAATCTTTTGACTAACTTTTTCAAGGTTGATGCCATCACTGCACTGAAAGAGAAAAATAAATAAATACAGATATTAATTATTTTGAAAAGCCTACATTCAGCTAAACAGGGCAAGAATAGTTTTGTGAATGCAATTATTGTAATTACATCATAAAAAATGTTTGCCAAGAAATTATTTTTTTGCAGCAATACACAGATAAGTGGGGTGGGGTGGCTAGCTGGCAAAATCCACTTACATATGATTTCTCTGTGGCCACGTGACTAAAAATATATAATTTCTTTCTGTTTACTTCCATACGGTATTATTTCTTTGAAAAATATAAGCCTCACAGGCAGATGCAAACTATAAATGAATAATCCTCTCAAAGTCAAGCACTTGCTCTTCATAGTCTACAAATTTACTGACACATTATCACTTTGCAACATTTTAAGAGTTTTGTTGTTGTCATTCTATTTTGATTTCATTGTTTTACTGCTGAGAACCAAAGAACCTGTATTGTGGCTTATAAGCATTTGAAACGAGTTAGCTCAATCAAGCTTATTGCTGGTTAAACTCATGAAAGCTGTTTTTATATTATTCATTAAGTTTCAATGTATTGATTAAATAAAACCCTAAAAAGAAGAAGGGGAAGAAAAGAATCACAAATTCTCACATTTCTAATTATTGACAGTCACAAACCAATTTTGGTTTCATTTGATTACTAAAAATAGGATATGAAAGATATTTCAATTAGCAATTATGAATAATTATAATTTCTACCTAAATTGTCTGTATAAGTAAAATGCATTAAAACAGATAAATCTATCTATTCTTTAAAGGCTACTTTTAAGGTCCAATTTTTTTTTTTTAATGCTATACATTTTAAACCCATATTTTAAGCCCCTAAGACTTCCTATTAATTTTCCACTTTCCTTACAGAAAGTGACATTTTCAGCAGTCAGCTACCAATAAATATCTGATTTAAAATATAATCATTACTCACAAAACAAAAATTTCTTATTTCATTTTGCTCTAGTAGTCAGTCATAATTAACAACTTTAAAAGAAAAAAATTTATAGGTACCTTTCTTATGAAATTTTATCAGAACTGTACATAAAATACTATAATTTTATGTACATTTATTACATTTTACTGTTATTTGTATTTGCATTCATTTTATTATTAATTTTGATATTTCATTTATGGAAAAATGTCATAACTGAGATTAATATAAAAATAAGATCATATAAATTTCATAAGATGATACTGATACTTGTAGGTACCCTTCTCAGTTGAAATTGAAAAATCAAATTAACTTCTCCACATGTGTTTCGCAAAAGTAAAAGCCTTAACAGCGGAGAACAATGCTTAACTCAAATAACGCAACTTAATTATATTCTGGTTGGTGTTCCGTACTTTATAATTACAGCCCGGTTATAAGCACAAAATTACATTTCTTAATTACTCATGGATCTTCTGATTAGTCAAAAATGATACAATTTACAACGCGCTAAAAAGATTTATCTCATAAGGACACTTAGGAAAGCCGATGCGGCTTTTTTTAACTAATTTTATAATATTTTAACAACTTAAATGCAAAATCTATTATAATTAAAGAAATAACAAATAATTGTATTAAAAATTCATTTTCATTGAAAAAATTTTTTGCTTTCAGAAAATATTGTCCATATTCAAAAAAACAACTAGAAGCAAATAAAAGCATTTGAAATTAAATAATATCTTTGTTTTATTGAATTTTGTATGCTACAATTCAGAGCTGATTTTCAGGTACTGCAGATCCAATTAAAACAAAAAAAAAAAAAAAAAAAAAAAACAATTTGCATTCCTCAAAGCCCTACGCTTTTAATTATTGTAATCACTAAACTCGCTGCGATCGAATTTCTAGTGTTTTCATAAAATTAGTTAGTGGGGGGGGGTAAAAATATCTTAAAAAATATTTCTACCATGACTTTAATAAAAAAAAAAAAAACATTTATAATAATTTCAATCATCTGTGAATAGTTCCTGAAAATTTCATTAACATCCGACAATTATTTCTATTTTTGCACGATCTTTCAAATTAATGTGTGTCATACCAAAAAAACGTGCTAAAAATTGTCTATGTTATTTACTAGTTCCGCTGATACAAATAGAAACAAGGTTTTTTTAATCAAAATTTAGAATTTTCTAAAAAGAAGGAAAATTTTTTAAAAATAATTAAAAAAAACTTTTGTCATTCCTCTTAATAACATAAGCATTTAGACAATAAAATTTTGTTTTTGGCAAGGTTGGTGTCTTTTTTATCAAGCTATGCTCTTTTTTTAGCGATTTTGTGGCGGTACCTATGCTAAGGAGAGTCACAGTGTGTAGTTATAAAGATGAAAAAAAAACTGTAGCTAACGGATGGTACACAAGCCGATACCCTGTAACAGACTGTAGATTTACGTGTTGTTAAATTAGGAACACGTGTGTAACTCCTGATAGAATTTAAAGGTCTACTACAAGAATATGATGGACTCAAGTTGAGTCCAACCGGAGATGTAAAGAAAACAAACAAGACCTATATATATATATATATATATATATATATATATATATATATATATTACACAACAAGTACATGTATTAAACAACATTTACAATGGACATAGACATTAACATTTGTGTGTGAACATATAGTGTTTGTATTTTGATGAATGTTCGTACATACATGTACGCATGTTTAATGGCGTTTTCCCACAAGTGGGCAAAAACGCAAATCTCTGCGAAAGATCACATCCTTTAAATGTGTCCACTGAAATGCAAAGTAAAAAGAGAACGAGGCAATAAATCACCCAGTATTTATAGTGTAGGGAGAGTGCACCCTAGTGAACAATCAGGAAATTAATGGGGAGTTAACTCCGACAACCCGATCAATATCAACTAGGTCACCGTGAATAGGGGGTATGATGTTGAAAGGCACAAAACCACTAATAACCTCAGCTAGAAACATCACTGATGATGATGTGTACCAAAGCATCCAATAGATGCATTTTATGAAATAAAGGTTTCAGTTCAAAATTCCCTGTAAGTTACCCAGATCAATATACAACTGATGAAGGCCAGAGGACACAACAACCGATACTTCGGAACAACAACAAAGAGGAGAACAATGTAAATATTTTTCTTTCGCTGCTCAAAGATGTTAATTAAGCTATCACCATATTTGACAAAGGATCATGCCTTTAAATATTTCCATGAACTAAAAAGAGACTGTTACCCCTGATCATAAATAAGTAAGATGATCTTTGCAACAAGCATATTATTCCAACAGAACAAGGTTTCTAAATGTTTCTACGCTATGATACAAACCAGTTATCTCTTTAGGAAAGGAAAAAGAAAGATGAAAAGCAAACTTTGAAATAATTAGAATGCTTAGATGAAAACATTAATAACTTTATGCCTTTTGGAAGAGCAGGGTGTTCTGTTAAAATAATAATAATAATAATAATTATTATAAAAGATTTGCATGAAATAAAATTAAAAATATAATCAAATTTAAAAAGATCCAAAGCTATTCTTATTCTGATATTTTATTGGAAGTTTTGTCTCCACTTTGAGTGTAAAAAAAACAAAACAAAAAAAAACACATGTACACACTTTTGAACATTTTCCAAGTTAATATTAATGTTCCATACACATATAGCCAAGGAATTATAATTTTGGTCACCCCAGTACTTCAGCATGACTTCAAATTGGCATGAGTCACAAAACTGAAAAGTCCCTCCACTGTCCTCACACTTAATACAATAACTTTGGAAAGTTTTAAAGAATGTATAGCAAAAATTTGAAATTATCAGGTTATAAAAATATCATAAAAGTCACACTAAAAGATATTAACATCAAAGTTATAGTAGTCATAGAAAAGCAGTAGTAACAGCAAAATGTAATAAATTTTCAAATTATTATTTTTTTTTTTTTCAGTTTCATTTAAAGTAGCAACCAGTTAAAGAGTAAACACATATTTTCATTTCAATTAAATCTTTAAATATCCATAAACTCTAAAGGCTGTGGAAAAATTATCATGTTCACAGATTAAAATGGGAAAAATGTATTTTTCTTTCTCAGAGAAATCAAAGTGATACTAAATTTAGACAACAGATATTTTCCCAGTCAACAATGCTCTTGAAAATATTGTTTTTCCTGTGGTCATTTTCAAAATTCTATATTCAGATAATTATTCAACATGCTCCAAATATAATCTCAGGTTCAAAAATGATTCACTCTAAACACAAATCTGTTCATAGGAAATATTGCTTCAGTAATTGAAAGAACTAAAGCAGAATTTTCTTTATATCTTATATTATCATCATCATCTTTATATTATCATTATATTATATCTGTATTATTGCCTGAATCAATCTGGACAGTAGAGCTTGCTATCCATGATTAGAAGATTTTTAAGAAGTCCTAAACTCAGTGTTAAAATGCTGCAATATCAACCCAGTCACATGCAGAAGGGGGGGGGGGTGACAGTCCCAGGAATCCATATCGGGAGGACATCCAATCAAAGAGTGAAATAAAAATTTAGTTTATATTTAATTTGAATAAAGTGTTTACTTAATGTTTCATCTGTTTCAACATATTTAAAATGTTTTTCTTTTCTCACATTTCTCAGTAGTAGGCCCTACAGGCCTCCATACTTTAAGTCTTAGGGGCACAGAATGAAGGAATAGGCCACAAGTATCATGAAATCTTTGCACATCACTGCCCACATGTCACAAAACTAAATCTGACAGATTCCCAAGACTGATCAGTCTTAAAATGATGAAGAAAACTGAAATACTCTAAAATTTAAAAGTGAAAAAAAAAAAAAAAAAAAAAAACAGTATTAAATGTTTCAACTAGCAAATTTAATATTTGTATACAATGGTTGAGCAGCTTTAGCCAACGTCTCGTCTCTTCTAGAATGGTTTTAGACAACTCTTCCAAAGTGTACTGCATATAAGAAAACCAACTCACTAGCTTGTCACCTCTGATTTGTTGGAATGATTTGACCATTAATTTATATTCTCAAGAGTTCT